ACATATTTGAAAAACAATTAAAATATAAATATAATTTTATACCAACTAAAAAAGTGCAAAGTTACACAAATATTAATCTTTATAAAAAGTAAATAATTTTTTGTGTTAGTTTTAATTTATATATTTTATAGATTTATTAAAGAAGATGAAATGGTTAGTAAATAATAAAAACAAAAATCACAAAAAATAAATTTATACAAGGATTTGGGTTATTGTTCAAGCGCTTGAGTTCTAGTAAGAACTTATGATTGGACAAGAACATTTGTCTTACAGTGGAGGTTCTTATAAAAACCTTAGCAGGAACCTCAACAAGAACCTCCATTGTGATGTTCTAATTATGTAATATTTTATGTCTTCTATATTAGGTTTTCTAAGATCCTACATTGGTTGGCAGGGAAACAGATGTTGCTTTATAAGGGACTTGATACCTCATTTATCATATGTTTTTTAAAATCATGAGTTCAAGTGTGTGGACAAAGCGGACAATATCATATACAGTCGGCTTGAGATGTTATGTATGATATTAGAGTTGGGACCAGGCTGGTGTGCCAACGAGGACGCTAGGCTCCCAAGGAGGTAGATTATAAAATCCTGTATTAGTTAGGAAAGGAACAAATGTTGTCTTACAAGAGATTTGATACCTCTTGTATCAGATGCGTTTTAAAACCATGAGTCCAAGTGTGTGGACAAAATGAACAATTTCATATACAGTTAGCCTGAGAATCTGAGATGTTACAGGCTTGATGTTTGATTGAATAATATTTTTTTTTTGATAACAGTGGATTTCCAAAACAACTTTTCTCTCTCTCTCTCACACACTCTCTCCCAGTTATTTTTGTTTTAATGCATAAAAGGGTTTAGAATAGCGTTTGGTTTCACGGAATTTTTTGAATGGTTTGTACTTCATGAAAGGAGTTAGAATCTTAGATGTATTGGATTATAGGTACTAGAAGGGTACTCACGTAATGGAGCGAGATACATCTCGATTTTAATATTTTATTTTATTATTTCTTTGTCGATGCTATAATACGATTTTATGTGGTATCGAAAAAACGATAATGTTTTTATTTTTTTTGAATAAAATATAAATTTGAAAGTATCATAAAATTTTGAAAAAAAATTACATCGATTTTAGTATCAAATTAAATATTTAAAAGTTCTTGTTTTTTGTGTAATTTCTTTAATTCTATTTTTTATTATATTTAATTTAGATTTAATAATGAAGTCATTTATTTTTTGTTTAATAATATAATTATTTATAAAAATAATATTTAGTATTTTGAATTCAATGATTATCCGAAATATATTTTAGATTTTTTTATATTTAAAATGAGATACTTATCTAGAATTTGATCATGTTTATCTGTAGTTAGTTACACAAATTCAAACATAGAGCTTTAATAAGTTGTACATATGGACAATTTACTTGTAATCTTGAATTTTAAATAATATGCATCAATAAACAGTACTTAATGCATAAAAAATGATTTTTAAGAGTTTTTGTCAAATGTTTTATAATACAGTATTAATAGATAATTTACAAAAATAAATTATAAATAATTAAAATATTTTTTATTAACTGATTATTAATGTTTTAACATATTTTAAAACATTATTACAAAAAAACTCATATGAAATCCAATGAAATATCAACCGCCTTCATGGAGTTTTTAACCATAATGTTCGTGAGATTTTATAAACTCTCAATTAAATAAATTTTACGTTAAACCAAACACGGATTAAAATTGAATTCAATTTCAAATCTCGTAAACTAAAACGATTCGTTAGAGACTCAAGTTTTGGTTTAAAACAAAGGATTTTTTTTTTTGATTAACCTGGATATCCAACCTGCTATGCGAACCGACTAATCCCAGAGCGACCACCTGCTTTGCAGATAGCCCGGAGTCACTGCATTTGAACCTCTGTGGCCACAAAGGGATTTTTATTCCTCCTTGGATTTGAACCTGAGATCTCCTGATACTTTTGATCTTTAGAGTCAAGCTCAAACCAATCAGACACCACTGTTCTGGTTAAACAAATGATTTTTGTTTATTTAAGTTTAAATTTGTATATGGTTTTGTGGGTTATTATAGGTAGAAAAATAAGAGATGCAATAATAATTCCAACATAGGATCCATTGTTCCTTGATGCATCTCCCATAGTCTCATGTCTTAATCAATCCTGCAAAGCTTCCAACACACAGACAAATGGCCACCAATTGCTTTGCTACCATTAATGCCTTCCTAATTCCATCCAGACATTTTTTTCTTTCTAAACAGCAGTAGCTGAATAAAACTCCTATTACTTTCTTTTACTTAGAGAGTTAACAACTGTTTTAGTTTTACACACTTTCTTGTCACAAAAAAGATGAATTTGGCAGTAAATTTAATGGTGACCCAAAAACAACAGGTGAAAACCAAATAAGAACCGTAAAAAATATTGAAAACGGTTAAAACTAATTTCACATGTACGATACGCCGAAAGTGTTCCATGTACGAAACAAAAACAGGTCCACACGTCAATTTTGGTTATATTTTGCCAAGTTTTTTATTAAAAAAAAGTGTTGTAGCAACCTTTTTTTATTGCATTTGTTGTATCATCTCATTTAACGTTTTTGTTATTCTGATCATTAACGGTTCAATCAAGAACATCTTCATTTTACGAAAAGCTAGAACACCTTTTTACTATAGTTCATCGTATTTGATATATATGTGATACTAAATTAAAGAGTGGACGACCTTGTGCAACCTAGGTTGTGGGACACCACTGGGCCCTTTCACGTGTATTACCACATGTGATAAGTAGGGCTGTAACGAACCGAACGTTCATCGAACCGTTCGTGAACTGTTTAGCGGGAAGTTCGTTTATGTTCGTTTATTTAATAAATGAACGGACATGAACAATTTTTTTTGTTCATTTAGTTAAACGAACGAACATGAACAAGAGTCTCGTTCGTTCATTTATGTTCGTGAACGTTCGTTCATTTACCGTTAGTTTACGTTCGTTTATATATTAAATTTAATATATAATCTTTTGTTTATTTACTTTGAATTCAAATAATATTTATTTATGTTCGTTTAGCCCGTTCGTTTACGTTTGTTTAGTATGTTAACGAACGAACACGAACACACTTGGTTTCTAAACGAACGAACACGAACACAAAGATTTTCCTTCATTTACCGTTTGTGTTCGTTCGTTTGTTCGGTTAAGTTAAACGAATGAACATGAACAAGCCTCCATTCGCGTTCATTCGGTTCGTTTACAGCCCTAGTGATAAGGGCGTTTTCAATGAAATTATAATCCATCACATGTGATACTAAATCAGAGAAGCAGATGACCTCTGGCGAGTCAAGTCATCCGCACTACCGATCCCTTCACTTGTATTATCACAATGTGATAATAGTGTTTTAACCTTTTTGTAAAATGGAGGTGCATAAGGGTTCAAACATATGCATTTTCAAATAGAATCAATTTGAAGACGCATATGTGAACCAATATTACTGATTATGAATCTTCTAATGAATTTTTTCAATAAGTCACGTAAGAACCTTTTCTTTAGTTTTCCTTTCTTACTTGTTATTTGAACCCATCTATAGGGTTGTTTACTAAACACTTACTAGATAAACGTTTACCGACAAGAAACATTGAGTTACTGCTCTCATTTACCTTATGCAATAACATTCTCGGCCATCAAAATGGACTAACGATATGCATTTATAACCTGGTAAACGCTTACCTAGTAAGAGTCATTATCTCACTTACCAGGTAAGACTCATGATCCGCTGTCTTATTTCTTGCCAGAAAAGATTTGCGGTCCTTGTTATGTTCACCCGTTAGGGTAATTAAACCAGTAATTAGTAAACATAGAAAAAGTTGGACAAAGCTTGCAATATGTGAACATGAGATGAGACGTCTGACTTTGTATCCAGCCCATTTAGTGGGTAAGGCCCAAGCCAGGCTGAATGGGATAGATGGATGGATTTGAATTGAATACAGTGGGGGTCTGGAAGCCAAGGTGCTGTCAACATTAGAGACGCACAATAAGCCATGGAATAAGATAAAAAGAAGTCATGCCAACTGGATCTAAGGCCAAGAAAAGACGTGAATAAAAAGGATTGCTTAATTTGGTCCATAGACTCATTAACACCTTATATCTCCACAATCCACATTCAATACCAATTTCCATGTGGGGTCCAATATTAAACACCTAACTGATATAACCCCAGATTCACATTGCCTGACCTCAAACAAGTCATGAAAGTGTTGCTTTCATCTTTCTATTACCATTTAACAGATTTAAATCTTTCTATTTTCAATCCGTAATACATGTAAAAATGGACTAACTCGCAACAAATCTACATATACATATATATAGATATAGATATAGATATAGATATATATATAGATATAGATATATATATAAATTGCGTACATCGAAGAGGACATCGGAAATAAAAACCAAAATTATCACCTGCGGATCGGTTGTTTGTTGAACCACCAGACTTGAATTACCTCTGGTGGCATACTGATGCAACCAATCAGATTTCTGTACCACTTACTGCATAGTAATTAACCTCAGCTTGGTTTAACCGATGGCTGCAACATAGGGAAGAAGGTCCAGTTGTTTTGGGACCCCAACTCCGCGCCAACGGTTTTCTCTCTCGTCCACCACTCACACCCAATGGCGGGCTTCCCTTCGACAACTCCCCCATTTGTGTTGTCAAAATTGAAATCCCTGCTCACAGATTGTCGTTTACAGTAACATTGTTTTTCCTTGCCTTCCTCACCTAATGGTATGTCACTCGAGTTTTTCCTTCTGATACAATATTCACACAGGCTCTCCGTCTTCTTTAGAATCGTTTTGTCGTCTGTAGTTCCCTCCTCATCGACCCGCTCATGTCCTGATGAAGTTCTGAAGGATGATTCTAGATTATTTTCTACACCACTCGTGACATCTACACGGGTCAACTCAAATGAAACCCTGTGATCAATTAAGGTTTCTCCCTTTGGGGAGCCGGTTTCTGAGTTGGCAAGCGATGCCACCTCAGAGATTTGGCTCTCCATCAGATACATTTCCCCACCATTTGGGGTCAAAGTACCAGAACCTAATCTTGAACCCCAACCATTTGGAGTCAAGGATCCAGAACCTACTCTTGAACCCAATCCGTATGGAGTTGCTGATCCCGAGTCTAATGTTGAAACCACACCATTTGGTGTTGCAGATCCAGAACCCAATCTTGAACCCCACTTACGAGTTGAGAAATACTCGTAGCCAAGGAATTTTTGATCCTCGCCCACTCGTAGTTTGAGAACACGTTGTTTATCCCCAAAAGGAGAAGATGTGCCAGAATTTGGAATTGTGGAACCTGGAGACATGAGACCGCCACCTGGGCTTCCTGTGTAAGGCTGGAATTCGTACTGTGATAGTGGAAACTTCTGGTTAGACCCCATACTATGTCTGCGAGCACGGGCAAGAGATGATGTCAAAAGCTGAGCAAATGGTACTTCAGGAGATGAAGGTGTGGTAATTTGCACTGATTCAGGAGGGGGAGTAAAATTAGCAGTAGATGGTTCAGTAGTATAAGTAGAAAAAACTGGGGGTGAAACTAACTGGGTCTCATACGCATAAGGACCGACAGTGAATATAGAAGAGGCAACTCCTTGGGAGTGGGGATTTTGAGAAAGAGATTTAAAAGAGAGTAACCCAACTGGTGAATAGGAGGCGGAGGGAGGATCTGATTGGAGAAAAGATGCAGGAGAGGAAGGCGGGGCAATAAAAGGAAATACTACGGTGTTAGAGTTGTTCACATTTTGGGTCATGGATGCTGCCGGTTCAGGTGCCGTTGATTCAGGAACCAAGAGGGCATGACTAATTTGTTTGCTTTGCTTGTACGACCCAAAACACCAATATAGACTCCAGCAGCTGCCCCATCTTCTCTTCTGAAGACAAATATATGATAAGCAATGTAAATAATTTATCAAGAGATCATAGAACCAATAAATCTCATAAAATTGGAAACACCATTAGCTATAAAAGACACCAATTTGCAAATGAAATTCAATAATGATTCATTTCAGTTACCATTTCCTAAATTGAGTAGGCAGCAGAAAAAACTAGAGACTGTTCCCCAAGGTAAGAAGTACAAATGTCATGATGTTGGTGTCAATTTTCAAAGTTATGGTAGTGAGAGGTTAAGTATCCAGGATTAGGACTTTAAGAGCAATAAATCGTTAGCACAAAAGGAAGCCAACAGAAAATATTATTTTAGAGGTTAATGGTTAATTTATGTTCAAGCTTTGCACATCAACCAGAGGCTAATACCAAGTAGTCGGGCACTCATGTGAATGACCTAATCCCATTGGACACATGCATAACTAATCTTGATGGGCACATATATTTTAGGTATGGAAGCAAATCTCCAGCAGAAATTGAACTATATGAGAATTTTGGACCCTCCAACTCTTAAAGGCTCTAGAAGTGCTGCTTTCTTTCGCTGCAATAGATATTATATCCTACACCTTTAGCTACCCTAACCAATGGATGATGCACTTTGGTGGGCACATGAGGAACCCAAATTTATGTGCACAATTACTTTCATTTACTAAAAACCTATATCAAATAACAACCCTATTCCCTTTTCACCAATGGGTATAGACGTTTTAAGTTTCCCTATGCCTATTCCTGAATAAAGCAAACAACCAACTGAGAAATACCAATTCCTTGCTTGCATTTTAGGTTAAATTATGTTTACAGGAGGCCATTGTTCCTCCTGACATCCCTCATGCTTCCTCTTTTATGGATTATTACTCAGGTTAACGCAAAGTGTTAAGATCATGGCCATGGCAAAAAGTATTGGCTCAACTTGTTCGGTACAGACCACAATAGTCATTGCTGAAGATAACATGTTCAGGCCAAAATTCAACTTACTCCCTATGGAAATCCCCCAAGTAAAAGATGATAGTTACAATATTGAATAGCATCATTATGATAGTTTATAAGTATGGCAGTCATTAATCTACAATTCGAGTAATGATGCCAGCTGTGGAAAGAAGTCAGATAGAACAAAACAACCATCTGATTTTCTGCAATTTGATCTCTATCAGTTCATACAAGCAGGCCTCTCTTAAATAAACTTAACAATTTGCAAGCCATAAATAGATAGTTATCATTAGGTATGAACAATCTTAAATCTAGCCATAGACATAGAATTCAAAAGTAGAACTGAACATAACGTGAATGGTCCAGGCAAAATTTATTGCATCTAACCGCTCAAAGTCGCACCTAACTGAACAAACAATAGCAGGAAAATTGAAAATTATTCAGATGGAGCTTCGCAAGTGGCCCATCAATAATAGATGCATAAGTCATCCAAAAGTCTCAGGAAACTCCAGAAGTCAGAACTTTACTTCAACAAGACCATCATCTTCAGTTTCACGCAATTACATCACTAAATTAAACAAAAAATGTTTCTACGCATCTAAATCAAACGCAAGTTTCCATCCAATCGTCACTACCATTGCATTTGAGGAAACAAAAGAGGAAATAGATCAGAATCATCACATAGAAAACCAAAACGTTCCCAAAATCAAGGATTTATTGCCTGTATTGATTTTTACACGATCAAATCGCAAGTCATTAAGTATTTCAACACAAACACTTGTATAACACGAATCCAATAACCACACACCAAAGACGTTAAATCAGCTTCAAATCGAACACAAACCTGAACAGATGTAGGCTGAACCCGAGTTTCAGCCGAAACTATAGCAGTCGCGGCAGCGTTTACCGTCTCAACGCTGTTATTAATCGAACTCATATCGATTCAATCCGTTCCACCGTCAAGGCCGACCCGAGTACGATTAACCGATTTCACATGAACGGAAAATTATAGGTTCATCGGAAATGCACGAAAAAATCATACAATAATCGAAGAACATCACATCACCATCACATACATAAAGTAAGGAACAGAATTAAAAAAGGGAAAATTGGTGTTGATTTAAATAAAAAGTCCATGACAAAAACACACGACTCCTCTATCTTTCTCTCTCTAGAACTCACTCAGTGTTACTTTCTCTCTCTATCTATCTAGCTGTGATTTTGTAATTATGTCGCACGTAACGCTAAGATCATATATTATTTAAATATGGTTGATGATAATGATGAAGTAATTAACTCAACCCCTTTGGCCTTTGATTGGTAGTATGATGGCGATGTATATCATGCCTTTCCAAGGTCCCTTTTTTACCTTTGCCACATTTTCAATCCAACTCGTATTTAAAAAAATAATTTATTGACTTATTTCAATATGATATCGGTAATAAGTATTTTTGAGTGTTTTAATAAACAACTTATATCGGTGTCAAACGGATAATAAAAAGTTTTTAAAAAAGTTAAACTCTTCTGACTTATAATAAGTTGATAAGTGTTTTTTGTAGAAAAATATAAGTTGTTTCAAATAAACAACCCCAAACACCCCCTCAAATTACAAATATTTACCATTAGAGTTTAATCAGTTGAGAACTCTAAAATTTATGATACATGTGATTAAATTTTAGAGTTCTTAATTGATTAAATCTTTTTCATTTAAGTATAATATTTAAAGTGTTGATAACATATGTTTGTTTTATATGTATTTGATTCACAGTTTTTACGTTTATTTTTTTTTTTTTTGTTTCGCGAACTTGTGAAAAAAATTACTTTATGAACTGATTTAATGCATATTATGAAACAAATATATGTTAATAACTACATTAAGTTTTAGTAATAGATAGAAGAAATTCATATGAAATAACATATGATGCACTAGTTCTCAAAAATTTTACGATTTAAAACATTTTCTTCGTTTTTCTTTCCTTTCCCTCTTGCGAACACAAATAAGAATACATTTCCTACTATTTTTTTTTCTCCCTAAATTCGTGAGCATCTCGTTAGGGTGTGTTTGATATGGAAAATTGGACGAGACGAGAAAAAAAAAACAAAAAATGTCTTTTGTTTGGTACGACATTAGACTAAGGAGCCGTTTACCAAACACTTATCCGGTAAGTGCTTACTGGTAAAATTTAACACTATTATTCACTTACCGGGTAAAATTTTAGTCTACCAAAACGACATCGTATGCAACAATTTACCACGGTAAGCGCTTATCGTGGTAAGATTCGTCGCCCTTACTTATCGGGTGAAACTCTTGGTCCTTGTCTTGCTCTTACCGGGTAAGTTTCTTGGTCCTTACCATATTCATCTGGTGAAGTTACGTTACTTGGTAAGCGTTTGGTAAACGACCCCTAAGACTAAGCGGGATGGAAATCGAATAGATATGACAAAATTGATAAAGTGATATAAATGTTGAACTCCTTTTGGTTAGATAAACGGTCGGGAATTTGGTTTGAGAGATCGTTTTATAAGGTTGTTTAATTTGGAAAGAGTAAGGGAGGTAAAAGTGAGGAATTAAGGTCACTGGTGTGAAGGCTGACGAGACTGGGTATGGGATCGGACTAGAGCTCTGAAAAGGCGGGCCAAGTCATTTATGGATATTATTAGGAGAACCCTGGAGATCTAGTGACGAACTAACTAATTTGACGTATTATGCAGAATATTCAACTTTTTTATATCGCAGACAAAATGGTGGCGGCTTTTAGATGAAGACGGTGGGTTCTCGGTCAAGAAATTGAAAGCGTTGCTAGAAGATAAACGCCTTGAAGATGAAGACTTTTATCCGGAAACTCGATGAAATGCTCTCGTCCCAATAAAGACCAGCATTTTTGTATGGCATTTGATCCATGATATACTTCCGGTTCGGGTTATTCAACAATCATTTTTTTTTTTTGTAATTAAAAGAGAACGTAAGAAATAAAATCAATGAATTATAATAATATCCACATCTCAAATTTATTTTGTCCTAAAATAAATGTTTGTTTTTTTAAATCAAGTGTATATTTTCCAATTTTATTCTTAATTATAAAATAGAGAGAATTTTTCTTTATTATTTAAAACTAAAATTATTGTTTAATTAACTAAAAGTATAATAATTATATGTTTCTAAGGGCCTATTTGTTTACCTTTTAATATTTTTATTAAGAGGTCATCTCTGAACCATTAAAAGGTGAATCTTGTTTAGCAAAAAATAATTTGTCTCTTAATGGTTTTAAAACCTCTACACGATTTTGTATCTTGTGCCTCTTTAAACCATTAGGAGCCCTAATTTCATTTTGAACAATTATCAAACAACTATATTTCATTTTGCACTATACCATAAAAGTTTTTTAATCATTATAATCACTTAATTATATGTGATTTTCGTTTTAGATATTTTTTTTAAAATTAAAAATAAATATTAATTATTTTTATTTTAATAATAGAGTGGGTCAGGGTCACAATCTATTGCAGTAAGTGAACCTCCTTTCAACATTGACATTATTAACTTTTCGTTCAAACTTTTTCAACACTCTCCTTTTTAGGTTTCCAATTTTTTCCAGTAATTATGTTTTATTTTAATTAAAAATCACAATTTTCTTTCTCTTTTTTTAAATTTCAAGATTTTTTTTGTGTGTTTTTTTTCTATATTTTTTAAAAAATATAGTTGTTGTATCGTTCGTTTCTATAAAATCTATAAAATCTTGTAAAATAGTATACTTATTGGAGATGATTAGCTAGATTTGCTATCTATATCTATATTTATATTATATTATAAAGCATTTGACAAAACTCTTAAAAATTATTTTTTATGAATGAAATATTGTATACTGATGCATATTACTTAAAATTTAAGATTACAAGTAGAAAGTGCATTAGTACATCTTATTAAAGCTCTATTTTTTAGAATTCGTATAACTAACTGCAGATAAACATAATCGAATACATGATAAACATCATTTTAAATATAATAAGATAATCATTGAGTTCTAACAAAATACTTAATTATTATTTTAAAAAATTATTTTATTGACTTAAAAATAAATTAGTTCATTATTAAACTTCAATTAAATTATAATAAAAATTTGAATTAAAATAATTACATAAAAACGAACTTTTAAATAGTTCATTTTATATTAATATCCCTTTCTTTTTCAAAATTTTATAATATTTTCAAATTTATATTTCATTCAAAAATAAAAACATTTTCCTTTTCTCAAAACCACATAAAATCGCATTATAACATCGCTAGAGCCAAAATATAAAACGAAACATTATAATCAAAATGTATCTCGCAGCATTGTACGAGTACCATTTTAGTGTACGAGTACCATTTTAGTGCATTATTAATTGACTAACAATTTAAATTGAGAAAAAAGTGAGAATTAATTTTTGAAAATTAAATATACGGTGAAACTAGATTAAGTTTGTACAAAATCGATGACAGAAAATGATGGTCTCTTAGTTGGCAGATGTTCACGGATGTCCCCGACGATCATTTCATTCTTTTTAGAATGATCGAATTCCTAAGCGATGGATATATCGACGTGTGCGAATGATCTCCCAACGTAAGTGTATTCATCAAAATGTTTCGTTTGGTTTTTTCGTTCACTATGAATACTCTCAAGTGTCAGAGTTATTTTTAAGAGCCTAAGGAAAGAAGAAAAAATATATATTATGAAAGATTATGTCCCACTTTTGAAGATTGTATTTTAACAACTGATACTCATTTTTGTACGATTTGAATCACTTGAACATGTGTTGTGCTTTGTTTGATAACGACCTTTTTATCTTCTTGATAAGCTTTTCGTTGATATTTTGGCAGACATTTGCCGTCAAAATTTCTATATCTTTTTTTTTATTAACCTGGATATCCAACCCGCTATGCGAGCCGACTAATCTCAGGACGACCATCTGCTAACATGAGATTTATATGATACACGGTAGTTTGTATCAGTTGTTCTATCATTACAGATTAATTTTTTACATAACAAAATAACATATGGAGAGAAGAAAACTGAGTGGGAAATAAGTTCCAAAACACTATAAATCATTATGTAAGTCTATATATTTCGAGGGTTTTTATGATTTATAAGTTGTTGATTTACATTTAAGTTTTTAGAGACCAAAATCCGACAAGATACACAAAACGAACTTTTCACGTTCATTCTAGGATGTTGTTTACAAATTGCATACTGTCATATAGTAATACCAGTAGTTTTGTAGTTAATTGTTTAGTTATACTATTTGACTCAATATTAGTAAATTAAGGGGCTATTTACTAAACGCTCACCTGCTAAGTGCTTACTGAGTAATTTTCCTTATCTGATGAATATGACAAGTGTCAAAAATCTTACCCGGTAAGAGTAATGTTAAAGATGGAGAGCCTTACTCGGTAAATGAGGGTGATGACCCTTACCCGGGTAAGTGCTTACCAGGTAAGTTGTTGCATACGCTACCATTTTAATGTACCACAATCTTACCTAGTAAAATAAATTATAGTGTCGACTACTAACGATAAGTGCTTACCGGGTAAGCATTTAGGTAAACGGCCACTAAGTATTTTGCTTGGTCATAGTACAAAATTTACTCCCAAAATTAAATTTTTATTGAGACATTTGAAGTGTTATTATTTTTACTTATGTAGTTCGTGTGAGATTTGTCGTTATAGCTCTTGAAGTAAATATGTTAAATAGATTGATAAACTGAATCATTACAGTGTTATAATATAAACAACGAGTAATATAATTGGTGATGAGAATCATTCATATAGTGAACGTCTTTTTTCTAGTCTTGTGTCTTATTTTTAGTTAACTGTGGCTGTCCGAGCGCTTACATACTCATCAACTAACCCCAAAGGTTTTAGAGAACAGTCAAGAAAATCGTCTTCGATGACTCAAATTGGTGACCTCTGAGGAGGATTTTCAAAAGTGCAAGTCTTTGCCAGTTGAGCTAAGTGTTGTTTTGGCACCTATTTGTTCGGACCTCTTTTTGTGGGCTTTTGTTTTAGATCATTTTCTTCTCTCTTTTGTGCTTACTAAAAGGGTCATTTACCAAACACTTACCCGGTAAGCATTTATCGGTAAAATTCAATACTATTATTTACTTACTGAGTAAGATTTTAGTC